TTAAAGATCCATAACATCAATACGAAGACCAGAACAAAACTTGCGTGTCATGTGCAAGAATGTTTTAAAACATTTTATCATGGTTATAGCTACAAGCGGCACTTACAATATCATGATTCCATTGCACAAAATGTCAGTGATGAAGATTCTCATGGAAATGCTGTTTCTGATGATGAAAGTGTATCAGATCAGTCAGAAGTGCTGCCAAATGAAAAACCCAAAGAGGAAATATCAGCAAATATCAAACATTCTGTTTCTGAATATGTAGCAAAACTTAAAAGCTCTTCCCTGCCATCATCTACTGTGCAAAGCATCATTTGTGACACACGGGAGCTGCTCAGGAATGTAAATGAAGCAGTTCTACAAGTGTCAGCCCCCGTCATTGAGGACATAGCTCATGATATCAAACCGTCAGATGATAAAATTGACAGTCTACAGTCAGTCCTCCACATGGTGAAAGATCCATTTGATTATTTCAGTTTATCTACTGTCCACAAGCAAAACCAATATGCCCACGAATGTAAAGTTCTTATTAAGCCAGAAGAAATTGTTTTGGGCAAAGCATACAGAGAATGTTTGAATGTGCGTACTGGAAGGACTGAGCAAAAACAAGTTGATGAAACTTTTCAGTATGTGCCAATAGGAGACAGTCTTAAAGTGTTGTTGGAACAACCAGGCTATATGTCGGTCATCAGTCAAGAAAAAGACTGTGCTGGTGAGAAAGAAGTTCTTCAGACTTATAGAGATGGATCATATTATAGGACTTTTGAAGGGAAACAAAACTGTTTGGATATTGAATTGTTACTCTATAATGATGACTTCGAGACAGCAAATCCCCTCGGTTCAAAGAAAGGGAAACACAAACTTCTTGGAGTCTATTTAACTGTTGCTTCTTTGCCCAAGAAATATCAAGCTAAGCTTGAAAATGTACTTTTGGTCGCTTTAGCAAAATCTTCTCTTGTGTCCAAATATGGTGTTAATGCTGTTCTGCAGCGTATTTCTGATGATCTTGAAGTTCTCTTTACCGAAGGTCTTCATATAGATAGTCCAGATGGATTCAACGGCACCATTCGTCTCAGACTTCTCCAGGCAGTCGGTGATAACTTGGCTCTCAATACCATACTTGGCTTTGCTGGAAGTTTTAGTGCAAACTACTATTGCAGGTTCTGCAAGGCACTTAAGGCAATATGCAGAAAACAGGTAGTTGTTGATGAAAGGTTACTTCGTACTAAAGAAAACGTTGATTATGATATCAGTTTAAAAGATGTATCCCAAACAGGACTCCGGAGATCATGTGCTCTCAATTCACTGAGCTATTACCACGTATCACAAAACTATGCTCCTGACCTGATGCACGATTTCCTAGAAGGGTTACTTCCATTTGAGATGAAACTTGTCCTGTCTGAGCTCATACAACAGGGCAGATTTAGCCTTGATGAACTAAACAGTCGTATTCGGTCATTCAGCTACGGCGTAACAGAACACGCAAACAAGCCCAGCCTCATCCTTCAAAGTCACCTTAACAACCCATTTGGAGCAAGTGGTCAAAAGGCATCACAGATGAGCTGTCTTGTTGAATTCATACCTCTGATTGTGGGAGATAAAGTTGAAGAAGGGTGTGAATACTGGAGGTTGTTCACAATTCTTCTGGAAATCTTCCAGCTGGTCATAGCACCAAACATTAGCATTGCTGTTACCTACTACTTGCAGTCAAGGATTAGTGAGCATCATCAGTTGTATTTGCAACTATTTCCTGATAACCATCTCCTCCCCAAGCATCACAATCTTCTCCACTATCCCCGAGCAATGAGAGAGCTAGGTCCTTTGTCACAGTATGCTTGTATGAGGCAAGAAGGAAAGCACAAGCCTTTGAAAAGGTGGGCAAAAACTTGCAATAACTACAAGAACATTGCCAAAACAATTGCACGTAAACACCAGGAAGATCAAGCATTCAGAATGCTCAAGAAAGAAAACATCAACAGCGAATGTGTATGCATCCACAGTTCAGAATTTGTTAAAGTGTGTGATCTTGATAGTGAGGCAGAAGTATGTCAGCTGTTGAGCTGTGAACCTGATGCTGTACTAGAATTGTGTGATAAAGTAACATTTTATGGATACACATACAGACCTAATATAATGTTGCTAACTGACTGGTGTGGTGAACTACCATCTTTCTCAAGAATTGATTGTCTTATGAGAAAGCAGGATAGACTATATTTGATGATCCAACCATGGAAGACAAATTACTTTCATGATCACTTTCAAGCCTATGTTGCATCAGAAGATGAGTTGGCTACACTGCAGTTGGTTGATCCTGAAAACCTGTTTGAACACAGACCTGTTCATGCAGTGAAGAGTCATGGTATTGCAGATCATCGGTGGTACATTCCTACCCGATACATGCTGTCATAACTGCATCAAAGTTAACTCAGAGCCAAAAGTGACTTACAGGTACAATACACTGTAGTTTCAATTCCTCAATACCCGTTCAAACTTATGTACTTTCTTTCAACGAAAAAATGTGTATGTACATTTTTTTTTCTTAATAATGGCCTTTACATAGAACTGAATATTTAGAAGGAGCAAAGTAAACCCCTCAAAGACATTTTTGTAATTTAACTTTGATCATCCATATCTCTGTTTACTGTAGCACTTCTATGCATCATTATACATTCATATAATAGGAATGTCAGTTCATTTCCATTTCAAACAATACACCATCAGTAATGAATCTCAAATAATGGAAGGTATAAAACACCTTAAATGTAAACACTATTAGTTCAAAAGTGTTTAATTATCTTTAGGATACAATGTTGGCACTCATGCAGAACCACTTCAATATGACAAGATCAATTACACTCTATCTATCCTAAAACAAATTAAGAAATTTGCCATCGACAGTGAACACTAATTTTCACTTTTGACATGGTACCGTAATTCAGTTGTCTTACACATTCCATAATGTTTAATTTTATAGCTATTTGAACTAGTACAATCAGAAGCATCTTTTCAAAGGAGAATAGACATACATTACAAGTACATTTCAATAATTTTGATTTCAAGTAAAATGATGTGAAAAATCGAGATAATAATTTAAATGTTGAATTGCAGAAACCTTTTGACAGACTGTGTATTTTCATCCTTTCAGGATAAAGCAAACGATTCTGCAGAATCTGTACTGACAGGCATGCAGATGGGCTGGGAGTCACCCGAGCTGTCTGATGATTTCATGATATCAGATGTGGAATCAGTTCCTTTCGACCTTTCTCAGGCTTCAACTATTGCAGTAGATGAAGATTCATGCTCATCAGTAGTCAATGATTTGAACAGCAGCAGTGACACGCCACCACTCAAGCGCCAGAAAGCAGTAAGATACGTAAGTTCACATTTAAAAAAAAATTGTAATTCATTCAGTCTAAATAATTAGGCCATATTATATTATTTACGTGTATTTATATCATGGCTATTCTAAATGTTCTCTAGGTTTTCATGGTGAGTGAGTATTCACAATTGAAAGCTTTCGTTAAACAATCACAATTCCGCTAGCGCCGGACCCATTTGTGCGGTTCCCACTGCATAAAAAGCCAGTTGCACTGAATGATTCTTTGAGTTATACTCCTGACGACGAATAGAGCATACTGTTCGAAACATGTCGAGTCGATATCTCCTTTTATTGAAATAATACTATAGTTACAAATACTATAGTTAACCCTTTCAAGAAACCAACCGTTCTTTACAGAAATAAACTCAACAAGGAATACCAACAGTTCTTTTCAGAACTAAACTCTTCGAATTTGTGAACTGGTCACAAATTTTCTGATCTTGATCTTTTTCTATTTTTCCTCTTTCCATTTCATTTCATTTTTCAGTGTTTTCAACACCAAAACAAAAAGCTAAAAACGTATCAAATTGAAAGCTAAAAAACAAGTCTTGTGTTTGTGTTTCTAAATTCAAATTCCATTGCATTCACTTCCTTTCCTTTATTCCTCTAATTGCCCTATAAGTGGGTCCCTTGAAGAAAGATACATGTATATCAACGGCCTTTTCCCTAAGGCTTACCACATGGCGTTAACGAAAGCTTTCAATCAGATCTATTCTTTTTTTTATGTGGAAATAAAAGTCCACCACTCTGTGTGTCCCTGAGCAAAGTATTTAAGAGCCACGCTGTCTATGATGTTAAGTTCAGAACAATAATAAAAACATTGAAATTGTAAGTCCCTTTAGAATTCAGAGATTTAATTAAATTGACTCCCAGTTGCTATTTTTATCACCAAGGTCTGTTGAAAACAAAGAACACTCTATCTGCTGGGTAGCACATTTTTTGCATGTTATTTTGAGCTGTGATTATCCCATTTATTACTATGCATGCAAAATCGATCAAAAATACATGCACTGTATCTGTAAGAATCCCTTTTTAGCAAATGCTTTTGGAAGATGTTGAAATGTGCCAGAAAAGATTTAATACCACCTGTACTATTATGATAAAAAATAAAAAAAAACACACACACAACATTTTCTTAACTCGTGCAATTCTGATTTTTTTATAGGATGTGGGTGAAATTCTAAAGAAAACCATGGAAGGAAGAAAAACGTTGGAGGAAGTAACTCGAATGAAAGTCTGCGCACCACACAACACTCGTGTCGTCTGTAATTTGTGTACAGAGCACCTTGTAAACTTGCATGGCCTAAGGTAATGAATGTTACATGTATTTGCAATGGCTCATATGCTATTGCCTTGTTTCTGTCTGCATTGTGCATTCTTCTTCTTTCTTTTGCAAGAAATCACATTCACTTTACAGCAAGACTTTGACCTTCCTGACTAGGTCCCTTTCTCATGTCCAGTTGATTTGAAAATCCTCCTTTCCCTCATCAGGCATCTCATTTTTCAAAGTATGGTATAACAGGGCTCTGAAGGATATTTGCCAAGCTTAAAATATACCTGCTACTAGTAACCTTGAGTCAAGTGAGACAACAAATAACAAGGCTAACACCGCATATTGTATGGTCTATGGAGGATGGAAGTTTATTTTGGAACTCCCTTCCAAATCATTCAATCTGTAGATGAAAACAGAGAGAATAAAAACACATTGTTTAGTGCAATACTCAGAGATTTACATCTTCTTGTCTGCTAATAAACATATATCGCTTCATGGAATAATCAGTTGTCATGAGTGACTTATTTATACGTCAATAGTAGCAAAATTATGTTTTCTTTAAGAATTCAGAAAATCACAAGCTTCACTTGGTTTTAAGAAATTCAATTAACTAGTTGACTAGAAATTTAACGTCCTGTGGAAATACCGAAATCTCCTTAAAACACATGCAATGTATAATCTTTCAAATGTATGATTTTCATTCAAACTACCTAATTTGCTCTTTACTGTATTTAAACCAAACTAAATCCTGAATAAATAAACCATGCTTAACAAAGCACTAAATAACCTTGAAACCTCTTGGATGGTTTATATATAACAATATTTCCACTATTCACATATGGTCTTTGCTTTTTCTTAATCATTAAATGACATGCTTTATTACTGCTGCATTGTTTCTTTTTGTGGCTCAAAAGAACATCCAAATTAATTTATCCAGAGCTCATTCCAGATAAATCTGACCGAAATGAAATATGACCTTTGCCTATCGACCTACATCTTGACTGACCAAAATATCTTGAATACAAGCTCAGGCAAAATGCAGCTTAACAGCATTCATTTATAAAACCTGTTTAAACATTCAGCCCTTTTCTCAGGCATTCTTTTGTTCCGTCTGTTCTGTATCCCTTTTAAATACATGAAACCTACTAAGAACACAAAATGGCTTTCAAAATACATCTTGTACATTGTACCAAATTTGACATAGCTTAATCCTACAAATCAAACCTTTGTTTTGTACCAGAATTTCAGTACTTTTGTAGGCTTAATCTTATCAAGCAAACTAGACAATTTTACTCTTTGTTTATGAAATTGACACTCTTCACTTGCTAATACATGTAGCGTAGCGAACACATTAACGATAACTCTGTGTAAATAACAATTTTGACATCAAACTTCAATCTCAAAACATCGTATCTAGAATTTATCAAATTCCTTTCTCTTTCATATCATTATTAAAGATATTTAACTTTCATATTACTTACTCTTTGGGCGATATTAGCCTCGACAAATCAGGAAATAAAGGTAAATTTGCCGTCTGCAAATTCGTCAAACTTCTTCATCGTCAAAGTATTGTGGCTGCAAAGTAACCTGGGAAATTTACGGTGTCTTTGAGAACGAAAATATGGTGTTCGTGAAATTCAATAAGAAAAAGAACTGTTTCACCGAAACATTGGGGCATGCACATTAGGTTAGCTCAAACCACATCCTTTGATTTGGAGTAAGCTCAACTACACCACAATAATTTCATTCTAGACACTGTTCCACATGTGTATTTTCTAACATAAGTACATGTACATTAAACTGTAATGTTAATTTCTCTTACTAAACAGACCTGGCCCTGACATGAAAGGGGCAATGGCCTCCTCAATCATCGCAGAGTTCCCCTTCCTGAAAGATCCAGCTGGAAATGGAGATGTGAGTAGACAGTTTGTGGAGACTGACTTTGTGTCAGTATTTCAATTAAAACTCATCTGTGGCACATATCAGTAAAGTCCTTTTAGTCCAAAGAAAAATTTCTTGTTACTCATTAGAATATTGTGATAGGAAGCACATTATTAAATTTTCCCTTGTGCTTCATGATGGAAGTTTCAGTTTCAAATTTTCTGTCTGTGAGTTACTTTCATCTAGCTCTTTATTAATGTGATAATGGCCTGATTAATATTTTATATTTTCTCATGAACTTTGAAGATAGTAATTTATTTGAAGTTATGGCTATATAGTTTACTCCTTGAATTGTTACATTATTCATGCTAATGCACAGGATTTTTTTTTTAAAGGAGGAATGGTACTTCAAAAGCTCCAAATGTCCTGCAGGTGGTAGGATAGAGAATAGACTCAAGTATTTAAGAAGAATAACAGCGGAGAAAGACAAGAAGCAAGTCGGGGTTGGCAGTCCTGAGGATATAGCTTCAACATCTTCCAGTGAGGATCTAGCATCTCCTCAGATGAATTATGGTATGCACTTACAGATGTTACCAATAATTTCCAAAGCATATAACAGTCTAATGCAACCTGTTGAATTTTTACTGGTCCAGTTCAACTGGAACAGTATTATTTTGTTCCAATTTCCAGAGTTACCAGTTGAATTTTTACTGGTGTAACTGGTCCAGTTGATTCCGGTTCTCCTTTTGGATAGTCAAGCAGGCTTAAAAAATACTTGCCCAGTAGCAAAAAATTTGTTCCCGGGGTTCAAGCTAAGTAGTAAATAACCATTGTTATATGTAGATTGTGTTAATTTTCATAGTTTGGCCGCCATGGGCATGTTTATAGCAAAACTTAGAGAAAGGGATCCGACTTTCTTTGCATTTTTCGAGTTGAATGTAATTTTGTATTTCCTTTTTGTCCCATTGAAGTACTAATTTCTTTGGTTGGGGTCTGGCAAATGCATGTTATAGCAAAATCAGCTCTTCTTGAAGGGAGTAAATGCTGGTAATGTGACACTCTTTTCAATTACAGGTAATTTGGCTATGTTGAATCTTTTGGGACCATAGAAATCTGTTTTGCTTGGGAGAAATTTAACCTAGAAGAGTATACATTAACACATGTTTGCATAATCTGGTCTTAAAGATTGCTTTGACTTGGGCGAATATTTGACGTATGAAAGGTCGACTAATCAGGTTTAACTGTATTAAAAAATAAGTCAAATACTACCTGGTAAAACCTTGTTTACTTTGATACTAATTAGCAGCCAAATTAAATTTTAATGCTGCCTGATAAAACATACAGCTTAAAGTTAGAAAAATACTAGGATGAACAGGAGGTTCATCCATTTTAACTCGGGCTTGATTTGATAATGATTGATATCTTAAGAGTTCCATTATTATTGATCAGATCTTGCAGACATGAAAGTCATCACTGAATGGTTGAAAAGTCATAACACCCCCCAAAAAGATGTTGTGGCCAAAATGCAGCTGACATCAGCATATAGAAAGGACTTTGTACATTCAACACTGCCGGGAAGTTCCAGGAAAAAGCCTTGTGTGGCTGAAGTGCTGGATGAGTTTCCACATCTCCTTTCCCCTGGAATGGTAAGTAAATGTTTCATTACCTTTGTTAACTGTCATTACGGTTTAATAAGCAGGTCCCTTATCTAACGAAATCAAGATGAAGGATATTAATACAGTCGGTTATAGATGTATGTATGTGATATACGCATGTACACATAAAAATAACTGCTTTTTCTGTTATATCTACATGGAGCATTCAACAAAAACAAAAAAAAATACCTGCACACATTCTGAAAATGACATTGTATGAAGAACTCCTCAAGAATCGTCCAGTGAAGTGGTTAGAAAAGTAGGTTAGGGTCTTTTTTTTTTTATTTCACCCACTTTATTAATTGTCCAGACATGTTATCTATATTTTCTTTTTTATCTTTTTTTTGTTGATTTCATTCCCAGAGGAATTCCATGATTCAAAATGTTACATTTAAGCAAATTTGACTGGGATAAATTTTGATACAGTTTATTCAATATCTATTTAATTTGAAGTCCTAATCTTGTAAATATGCATTCACCCACCCAAGTATTTGCTGGATCACATTGCAGACTGTGCACGACTTGTTTTACTTGTACTATTCTTATGATTTTCATGTCAAATTGATGCAGGCCAATACATGGCCAAAAGAAGAAAAAAAATACACCCGTAAAAAAAAGACAATGAGATATGCATGCTATAGATGTTATCTTTCTGATTCATAGATTGAGCAAGACTACGAAATGCTGTTTTCGGGGAGAGGAAAGCACCTCTATACAAAGTGGCCGGTGGTGTCTGCGTGCATCCTAGAATATGCAAACCGAGTAAGCCCAGGGTGGAAGGCCAGATTTAACGTTCAGCATAGAAAAGACACAGACTTCAGTCAAGGTATGATATTGTTTACAGATATAGTAAGCAAATTGGCAAATAATTGTACTGCTCGCTTCACCATCACCCAAAGTTTTTCTGTAGTTCTTATTGTGTTATGAAGAAAATCTATGATTGAGTAGTTTGTACCAAAATAAACAAGTTTTCAGATTAAATCTTATTTACATTATGTTTGAAGAAGGAACAAATAACAAACCCATATATACATCGGAAGGGGGGAGGGGTTAATTTTGACTGTGCAGTTGTGATTCCATCTATTTTTTTTTTTTTTTTCATTTATAGATTTCAGCATTAAAAGTCGTCACAAATATTTTTTTTTAAGTCGATGGATACAATGAAGGCCGAGTCAAATAGTGCATGAAAATATGATAAACATGTATCATCAGTCTAAAGAAATTTTCTTTAATATTATTGATACAGATGAGAGGATGAACCTGGCATTTTGCCTTCTCTCGCATTTGTTCCCTGGAAAGAAGTCAACAAAGGGAGGAAGAGCTTCCATCCAAGAAGCCTTGGATAATTTCATTGACTTTCAAAAGGTAATTATAGCAATGAGAAGATTCATGGCCATTCCAAAAAAGAACTGTTTTTTTTTTTTGGTAGATTGGGAAGGGGAAGTGGTTAGAAGGTAAGAAGGTGAAAGTGTGAAGCATTACATGAAATAGCCCTTCTCTCAAATTTTGTGGGATGATACATTCTATGACAAATATTTCACAATGGGCTGTGGATATATGTGGCACCTTAGCTGGAGATATTTCTACTTATTTTTGCAACTTTCCAAGACACAATATCACTATTGTTTCTTTCCATACCCAGGAATAACTAAGTTGGTCGATAACAATGTCACTGTATATTTAAAGATTAGATTTAATGGTCAGTCAAATAAGTAATAATACCCCCTGGATAATTTCTGATGCACCTAACATTACATTTCAACTGTACTTCAGCATATGAGAGTGTGTTACAAGCAATTATTATGCACATTTCATGGTGGCAATTTTTTTCTTTTCTTTCATGTCAGGAGGGGACCAATGTAGAGGCATACAAATCTTCGCATGGGAGGAACCAACCTTTCATCCTAGCCCTAGGAGGACACTTCTGCAATCCAGCTCAGACTTTTGTTGTATTGGAGCACCACGTTCTTGAGCAGAAGAGTCTCGTTGCAGCTGTAGATTTGTGCTACAAGATCTTTCAGATCTTTGATCTACAGTATCCATGCCAGGCAAGAGCAATGTGGGTCGTGATGGACACCATTGCTTTTGATGTCAAACCAGGAGCTCAAGAGTCTGGTGCAGTGAGAGCCTTCAGGGCATATTACCATTTCAACCAGAAATAAAGCCTTGGAATGTGTTGTTCTATCAACAGGCCTTTTGAAATTGAAATGATCACTTAAAAAATTGACATTAAAAAGAAAACAGATTTATGAACCCCAAACTATTATAATATTTTGAAAGAGTAACTCCTCCCACATCTTCGGTACCATTTTTGTGTGGTATGTGTTTACGCTTGGATGAACATAGCACATTGATCAAAAGATGTAAAAAGTGTCAAAGTAGGGGTGTAGTTGAAATAACCCCCCAAAAAACAACCCCACACATATCAAACTGGTGTAACTTTTTAACGGAACAGTATTGAGCAATTAACTTAAAAGAAGTGTTCTTACACCTAACAACTACATTCTGTGTAAAAAAATGAGATAGATCCGTGGAGCCATTCACGAGTGAGCACACGTCAAAGAAAACAATGATCACTTTTCAAGAGTATCAATAGTCCTTTTTATGTCTATAAGTGACCATTTTCTCTTTGATGTGTGCTCACTCATAGAATAACTTGATAGATCAATCTAATCTTTACACAGAATTTAGTCGATAGGTGTAACAGCACTCTTGCTAAGTTACTTTGCTCAAAACCTTTTCGTTAAAATGTTATGCCACTTTGATCAGGATGGAGTTGCTTTTTTGTTGTTTTGATTTTTTGGCACAAGTCGAATTATACATGTTCGCAAACAATGCACCATGTTCAACCAAGCGTAAACACATTCCACATTAAATGGTGACGAAGATGCGGGAAAAGTTACTCTTCCAAAATATGTATAATTTGGGGTTCATAAATTGGTTTTCTTTATAATGAAAATTTTCTAAGTGTTTAGTTTTTTTTTATTCACTTGGTAATGCAGCACAGTTTTTAGATTTACAATTCCTGTTGTTATCTTAGGATTTTAATAACATCATATTCATGTTCTTTGGAAAAACCAATCATACAGAAAGATGCTTGCAATGTGCTCTCCATTGTTCTCTCAAATAATCAACAACTCTTCGAATTTGTAACATTTTGAATTAGCATTGGTTTTTATATGAGGGCAACTCTTGTGTTGCATATTGTCCTGGGCATGTTTCATTGTTGTAGTTATATGCAGCCAAAACGTTAACAGCATATATTGAGATTTTTATTGTGAACCAAATTTATGGCTTA